GGCAACGAAACTGGGCCGGGCGGCCCGGGCCCGGAGCTCGGCACACCCATAATGGTCACCCTTGGTGACCGTTGTAGGCAAAATACCTGGCCATGCCCGGCGAAAACGGTCACCAAAGGTGACCGTTTTCGCTAAACGGTCACATTTGTGAACGTTTTGGCCGGCCCGGCCTGGCCCGGCCAAAACAACTATTTTGGCATTTTGACCATTTTGCCCCTTACAACGGTAAAAAAATAGTTATTTAGTGAGGGTTTTTTTGGTCATTTGCCTAGGAGGCTCTCTCTATAAATAGAGGGGGGTTTTCACTTCTTCTCCTCACACCAAAACTCATCTATTTCTCTCTAATACTCTCTTATACAATCTTATACTCTCTTGTAATCTCTTATACTTTCTAATCCTTTCATCAAATGACTTCTGGATCTGATTATGAAGAGCAAAATCTATCTCCTACCGATATTGAAATGAGTCCTACTACAATAACAGCTACTCCTCCTACCGATCTTACCAGTGGTAATCCCGAATCCGATGGTGACGAATTTGCACCAAGAACTCCTAAAAGGCCGACATTCGATGTGTGGAATATTTTTGAGAAGATAGACGTCGTCAAGGATGAACATGGTAGGATCCTCACCCAGAAGGCTAAATGTGCGTTGTGCGGCCGGATTTTCCAAGCTCATCATAAGAGCTACACCAACCACCTCAAACGCTATATAGAAAAACACAACAAATGCCAGACTCCTCAAGGTAATATCTGATAATCTATGATTTCCCAATCCTCCTCTTCTGATAGTCTCGGTACTTGGAATTATAATGCTGCCCGAGCTAGAAAATGCGTCATCAGGTTTATCATTCTTAAAAATCTTCCTTTTAAATTAGTAGAAAATAATGAATTTGAAGATTTGTTTAGAGATGGTTTTTATCCCAATTTTAAAAAAATTTCTCGTCAAACCTGTCAACGTGGCATTTTAAAACATTATCAAACGGAACAAGGAAAAATAATTTTTTATTTTAAAATTTTAAACTGTAAATTTTTTTTAACTTCTAATATTTGGATATCTAGAGCACAAACAGGTTATTTATGTATCACAGCACACTGGATTGATGAAAATTAGCAAATGTTTAAAAGAATTGTATCTTTTATTACAATTGAAGAGTCACATGGTATTAATGTAGCCAATTTAATAGTTGAAGAACTTACGAAACTAGAAATTGATCAAAGAATATTTTTTCTTTCACTAGATAATGCAAGTAATAACAATGTAGCTGTAGATTTTCTCAAAATAACTCTAGATAATGCAAGTAATAACAATGTAGCTGTAGATTTTCTCAAAATAACTCTGTCATTGCCCTGTCATGGTGAACTTTTTCATATTAGATGTATATGCCATATTTTAAATTTAATTGTTCAAAGTGTATTTACTGAAATTAAACCCATGATAGAAAATGTTAGAACATTTGCTTATATGCATACTGTTTCTGAACAAAGACTTAAAAAATGGAAACAAATGTGTAAAAGAAAAAATATTAAGGCTAGACTAATTCCAAAAGATGTTGACCATAGGTGGAATTCCACCTATGCAATGTTAAGTATGGTAATAGAATATAAAAAAATTATAAATAATTTTATAAATTATTATGCTTCTAGTTCTAGCTCTGGTAGCACTTATGGAATAACTAAAGATGAATAAACAATTATATGTAATTTAAATAAGATGTTACAAGTTTTTTATGATGCTATTATGTTATTATCTGGTTGTTATTATCTAACTATTACTTTAGCTGCTCTACAAATTTTAAATATTCAAATTTTTTTTACCAAATATCGTATGGATGATACTTTTGGAGCTATAATTTTTAAAATGGAGAGCAAATTTAATAAGTATTTTAAGCCTATTCCTCATATTTTTGGTTTGGGGGTTCTTATTGATCCATGTTTAAAGGATATTGGTCTTCGAAGTTTGTTACAATCATTGTATGGTGGACAGATTATAGACTTAGATGATGGATCCACCCTTACTGCTACTTCTCATCATTTAGCTAGTAGAAATTATTTTCAAACATTATATGATGAGTATGCAGCTAGACATAGTGTAGCTGCACAACAGTCTGCAATTTCGGTGCATTCGAGCTCAAGCCGAGGTAAAAGTATAAGTTTTGATAGGCATGCAATGATATCTGAGCTAACTGGTGGGTCTGGACTTGGATCATCATTGGAGGTTTCTAAAATAGATGAATATTTATCAGCTTCTTTAGTTAAATGTCAATGAAATGCTTTAGATATTTTGCAATGGTAGAGAGTATATGGATCAGTTTTATATCCTATATTTTCCACCATGGTTCGTGACTTACTAACAATGCAGGTTTTTATGGTAGCTTCGGAATCCACCTTCAGCACAGCAAGACGTTTGATAGACGACCACAGGACATGCTTAGATCCATATACTGTAGAAGCGCTAATGTGCTTACAAGATTGGTGGAGGTACGATAAGCGAACGTAAGGCATTGATCGGATGGCTAGAATTGAAGATAAATTTGAAGAGTTAGGACTAGCAGATAGATATAAAGATTAAACAATATTCATCAAATTTTTGAAGAGTTAGGACTAGCAGATAGATATAAAGATTAAACAATATTCATCAAATTGTAATTTTTATTTCTTAGCTTTAAATGTGTAATGAATTATTTTGGAAATAGTTACAAATGATAGTGATGTAGGTGAGTAGGTGCCAACCTAGTTAGGATGTACTCATCTATTGTGATGCGACGAATTTCAAAATAAATTTATACTTATAAAAGATTTACTGATTATTAATAAAGAAGTTATTTTTATCATCTTTCATTTTTATAATTTTTTGTATTTGTAATTTATGTCATTTCAAATTATTAATAATAAGATTGTTTTTATTTTTATTTTCTGTATTTTTTGGAATTTTTTATATATATTTTAAAATTTAAAGAGATTTATAAAAATTAAAAAAATTAAAAAAAACCAAACAAACACTAGTGGAAAAATCGTTATCCTTGACGGGCTTTCCCGTCAGGGATGTCAAATTTCCCGTTAGGGATACGTATCCTTGACGGCATCCCGTCAAGGATACGTCGTCAGGAAAAGTCCCGTCAGGGATAAAACATCCCTGACGGGCAGCTGTCAGTAATGTCTATTACTGACGGCAACATTATTGACGGCGAATGCCGTCAGTAATATTGAAACATCGCTGACGGGATTCCCGTCAGCGATGTTTCACTATCCCTGACGGCGATCCCGTCAGTGATAGACATTACTGACGACAGTTCGTCGTCGTGACGGGAATCCCGTCAGCGATACTTATCGCTGACGGGAATCCCGTCAGCGATATGCATTAGCAGAAAAAAAAATCTGCTGATTACTAAATCAATTCCCTGTACATATCATCAATTCCCTGTACATATCATCAATTCCCTGTACATATCATCAATTCCCTGTATATTTCATCCAATCAATTTTGACAAACAAACCATACACATGTCATAAGTTCTAAATCCATACACATCAAACCATACACATGTCACAAGTTCTAAATCCATACACATCAAATCAAACAAACCATCCAAATTCGAAATATGTACATAATATCGTCAGTAAACCATACACAAACATGATAACTTCCAAATCCACAACAATTTTCACAACAAACCATACACATGTCATAAGTTCTAAATCCACATCAAACCATACACGCATAATCTCAACTATAAAGATGTCCACAATATTAATCAGACACGAGTTTAGGATATAACTCACTAAGATAGGTCATCCGCCCTATCCATGTCATCGTCCGCGTTGCCACTGGCGGATCCATCCCTACGACTCGTGCTCCCAGTAGCATCATCTCCACCCTAACAAAAAAATAATTTAAATTTAGAATCACATAATATTGTGTGTAATCATATTTTACATATATAATAAGTATACCTGTCTGCTACTCTCTCCACTACCAGTAAATGCCTTTTGAGTGGCCAAGAAATTCATGATCTGGCCTTGCACCCGAGTAGGAACCCGCCTTCTACAAGATTTCATTATTTGCCTAGAAACCATCGCAAAAGTAGCAGTAGGCTGGATCACTCGCATAAGCTCCTCTTGAATATCCTCCCACATCTCCTCGGGAATCTGACCATCTAACATACTCATCACAGAGGAAACAAGCTGCATCGCCTGCTGAGTGCAATCCTCCTGCGGCATGTAAGAGGGCCCCGAGGGCATAGTCGATGGTGTTGAAATCGGCGGAGGCTGGAATTGTGTAGACACCCTCTGAGCTCCAACTCCCATCCACCTGGTCCTCCCTTTTTTAGGAAGTCCACAAACTAGATGGCTCACATTATAATTCTGCTCTCTAGTCAGGGGCTCTTGGCTCTGTGCAACAACCTCAGAATATGTGTTTTCCAGAGCTTCCTAGAAGTCAAAAAAATAAATTTAAAGAATTGACCTTTCAAAAATAAAAGATATATTTACCTGAACAAGTAAAAAAAAAAATGAAGTAGTTCACACATATAATTCATGTATGATAATTAAGATGACCAAAAGAAGAGTGCAAACAATAAATTCCCAACAAAAGAACAGGCTAATAAGAGCTAAGATAATTAAATAATTTCAAGTAATAATTAATGTTGAATTAGATAACCTGCATCTGTATGATATTAAGCTGCACAGTAAGAATGCTTATGTGTGTGTGTGTGTGTGTGTGTGTGTGTGTGTGATGTGTGCGTATGTATGCATATATATGTGTGTCAGTGTGTTTAATTCTTATAATAAACAGAGATTTCATATAGATGCATACATACACATCTACATGCATTCAAGAGTTGAAGCTATTATCTCTAATAAATAATTATATAGAACATATAATGATTACATGACTGCTACTTTTTTGGCCTATCATACAGTTTTAAGACTTTGCAAAAGGGACATGACTTTGCTCTTCAACTTGAGAAAATGCTTGACATTATCTAAACTTAGATTTATACAAATCAATATCTTATAGCGGTTTCTACTTCATCCTCTAGTGCAAAAATGAAAATAAACAGCCTTTTATATCCTAACAAGCAAGCCCCTCATACGAATGGGTCGTAGTAACTCGGCTAATAAGATGACCAAAAGAAGAGTACAAACAATAGAAACACTACATGATAACAGGCTAATAAGAGCTAAGATAATTAGTTAACCTGCATTTTCTTGGCCAATTCTAGCTTTTGTTTCTTAGCCTCATCGTCATCGTACCCCTTCTTAAATTGAACCATCGTTCTCCTGTGCAGTTCTGGTAGTGGGATAAAGGGAGCGTTCTGAGATTTAAAAATATATTTATTAGTTTTATTTATCAAATATTCTAAGAAGCGGAGAGAATATATATAGAAGATTAAAAGACTTTATACCGTTGTCCTACAAAATTGATCCTCAATCTGGGCAAATGAAGTAGTCCCCGTATGATGATCATAATCTTTTTTCCATCGATTAAGTTTATTTCTCCTACATTTTTCCTTCAACATGAACAAAGAGAATTTTAGTACAAGCTATAATATACAATGAAATATATCACTAGTTTCAGATAAATAACTTGATGATAATTAACTACTATACATATTTACCTGGTGCTCCTCTTGGCCCCACAATATTATAAGTGCAGCTAAGTGCTCAGGCTCAACCCTCTTATCTCGCTTGTATATCCTCTCCCAGTTGTGAGTGAAACAATCAAAGCATTTCTTCTTTATCTTATGTCTCCACTCCCGAAGAGAATGCTTGAACTTTCCCTGGTATCCAAATAAAAATTCCCACCCTATGGGATTGTCTTCGATGTTGAAATATCTCTAAAAAATAAAATATAGTTAAGCCATGGACAATTGACAGAATTGAAAAATAATTTTGCTAAATATAAGAATTTACCCAACAATCTCGATATATACTCTCCAGGACATGAAATGGCTGCTCCCAAGCCTCGTAATAGGGATTCACATTATCACTCCCCCGTATCAAACATCCAAGGTATGAGTTGAAGTTATTAGCCCACTGTCCGGTTGGAATCCCATTATGTCCTCATCTCACAATTGCTCGAAAACCATCCGGTGGTAACTTTTTTTTTTAAAGTCACTTCCTTGGCGGCCTTTCTTCTGGTAAAGTTTTTCTCCTACAAAAAAGAAAGAA